CCCCCTCACCCCACCCCACCCCACCCATTCTTCCTGGCTGCTCTATGTTTACTGAGCACTTCAAGCTTTCCTTCCATTTGCAGTGACCTCTGATCCCCTCTCCCCTTCATTCCATTCCCTACTCATCTCCCACTCACAAACGATCCTTAGTCCTGCAGAGGGTATATGATCCCACGGTTAGGGCAAAGAAACTGCAGTCCATCTCAACAGTCCATCTCAACATTCACTTCAGCCCCTAAAGCAAGCCAAGGAAGACAATGCAAGCAAGGAAGGCCATCTGTGGGGTACAGCCTAGCGCACACCCAAACGCTAAGCAAGCTCACCCACAGCTCAGATCCCTGTTGGTTCAGGTGATGTTGATGTGTGTCCCCAGGTAAGAGCCAACTGGGTCATGGCACCCTGGGCAGGATAATGAGTTGGCACACCTTCAAGCCAAAGTTGTTTGAGTATCCTTTGAAAGCCAAGCGTGGTGGCTTGTACCTGTAATCCCAGCACTTTGGGAGACCAAGGTGAGAGGACTGCTTGAGACCAGAAGTTCAAAACCAGCCTGGGCAACATGGTGAGATATCATGTCTACAAAAATTAGCAGGAGGTCAAGGCTGTGGTGAGCCATGATCGTGCTACTGAACCTCAGCTTGGGCAACAGAATGAGACTCTGACTCCAAAATATAAATTCATTAATTAAAAATAATAAGCCAGCCGGGCTCAGTGGCTCAGCCTGTAATCCCGCGCCTTTGGAAGGCTGAGGTGAGTGGATTGCTTGAGCCCGCAGGTTCGAGACCCGCCTGGTCCACCTGTGTCTGGAGTAATTTGCAACATACAAGTGCAAGTAGCAGGGTGTAGTCCAGAGTCCACCCAGCTGACAGTTGCCTGAAGGCATTGGTCACAGCCAGAATTCTGAAAGTGCATGATGCGCTGTGAACTGCTGCTCCCCGAGGACAAGAGATGTATGCTGTTGTCTAGATTTTAAGTTGTTTACTATGGCTACCTACCAAGAGTTGTCGGCTGTAGAAAATTGTATGATGAATTATGTAATAATCTCCAATTGTGAATATGAAGAAAGAGGTTTATAGTTTTTATTCCAGGGAAATTGACATTCCCCCAAACCTCTGTCAAGGTAAGCATTCATTCAACAGATATTTCTTTCTTTCTTTATTTTTTGAGTCGGAGTCTCTGTCACTCAGACTGGAGTGTAGTGTCATGTTCATGGCCACCACAGCCTTGACCTGCTGGGCTCAGGTGATCCTTCCACCTTAACCTTCCAAGTAGCTAGAACCACAGGCGTGTGCCACTACACCCAGCTGATTTTTTTTTTTTTTGAGTTGGAGTCTCACTTTGTTACCCAGACTGGAGTGCAGTAACTGCTCCCGACCACCTCAGCCTCGACCTGCTGGGCTCCGGCGAATCTTCTGCCTCAGCCTTCCAAGTAGCAGGAACCAGAGCCACGCGCTACCATGTCTGGCTAATTTTTTTGATTTGTTGTAGAGACGAGGTCTTGTCAAGTTGCCCAGGCGGGTCTCGAACCCGCGGGCTCAGGCAATTCGCTCACCTTGGCCTCCCAAGGCGCGGGATTACAGGCTGAGCCACCGAGCCCGGCCCTGATTTTTTTTTAATTGTAGAGACAAGGTCTCACTATGTTGTCCAGCCTAGTCTCCAACTCCTGAGCTCAAGCAATCCTCCACCTCAGCCTTCTGAAGTGCTAAGATTACAGGTGTGAGCCACCATGCCCAGCTAAGATCTGAATTATTCCAAGGATAATTTATTGTCCTTTAGACCCCAGGCCACTACCCAGATGGCCTACCCCTTAATTGCATTCTGGGGTCGGGTCCAAGTTGTGAGGGAAGTCCTGAGAGACAGAAAGGTGTCCCTGTTGGCACTGGCCCTTCCCCTTCACCACTACTCCACTGGGCCACAATGGCCTTCCTGCTGTGGCCACATTACATTACAGGCATGCTCCCACCTCAGAGCTTTTTTATTTTTATTTTTTTTTTGAGTCGGAGTCTCACTCTGGCACCCAGGCTGGCACTGCAGCCTCTTCTGCCTCAGCCTTCCAGATTCTTCTGCCTTAGCCTTCCAGGTAGCTGAAACCACAGGCATGCACCCCCACGCCTGGCTAATTTTTTTACTTATTCTAGAGACGAGGTCTCGCTATGCTGCTCAGACTGGTTTCGAACCCCTGAGCTCAGGCAATCCTCTCGCCTCCACCTCCCAAAGTGCTGGGATTACAGGTTTGAGCCACCTGGCCAGGCCACAGCTTTTGCAATTCCTGTTCCCCTTGCCTGGAACATTCTTCCGGTGATATCATCCTCCCCCACTAGAATGTAAGTAGCACATGACCTTGGCTCACCACTATTTTCCCCAGCGCAGGGCTCGTACAGCCAATCAATATTGTTTGCTGGATGAATAAATGAACAATAGATATCATTTCTCTTTGACTGACTTCCCAGCTGGCTGGGCTCCCAGGCACTTTCTTGAATTCGCTCTCCAGTCCCCCTTGTTGCTGCACTCTGACTCCTAAGCAGAAATATTCCGAGGTACTTATTCTTTTTTTTTTTTTTTTTTTTTTTTTGAGTTGGAGTCTCACTCTGTCGCCCAGACTGGAGAGCAGTGGCCGCTCGCGGCCACCGCAGCCTCGATCTGCTGGGCTCCGGCGATCCTTCCGCCTCAGCCTTCCAAGTAGCTGGAACTACAAGCGTGCGTTACCACGCCCAGCTGATTTTTTGATTTATTGCAGAGATGAGGTCTCGCCAAGTTGCCCGGGCAGGTCTCGAACCCGCGGGCTCAGGCAATTCACTCACCTCAGCCTCCCAAAGGCGCGGGATTACAGGTTGAGCCACCAGGCCCGGCTGGTACTTATTCTTGATAGTAATGAGTCGAAGGGAAGGAGAGTGTGATTTTCATTTTTTTTGTTGTTTTTGTTTTGAGTTGGAGTCTCACTCCCACTCCCAGGCTGGATTGCAGTGGCATACTCACGGCCACCCCACCAGCATCTACCTGCTGGGCTTTGGTGATCTGTCACCTCAGCCTTCTAAGTAGCTGGAACCACAGGCGGGCGCTACCACATCCAGCTAATTTTTTTATTTACTATAGAGATGAGGTCTGGAACCCTTGGGCTCAGGCTCAGATGAGGTCTCGCCTCGGCCTCCCAAAGTGTTGGGATTGCAGGCATGAGCCACACACCCAGCCTCTTTTAATCTCATTAATGGGAACAGCAAAACAGGCCCTCATCCAACGCTTCTTTCCGAACCCAGTACGTTTTTGGCTGCCCTGTCCCACGCCCAGGCTCAGGTGACCCGTCCGGGTGCGGCGTGGAGGTGGCGAGAGCGAAGCGTCAGGGCCGCGAGAGGGTGAAAGGGCAGAGGAGG